TCTGGCGAGATTCTGTCCATTAGGTGCAAGCTAATAAAGGAACTATACTGGACTGGACTGCCTTGTTGGTTCTTGAGCTAGGCCTGACAAATAATATGTAATGAAAAGTTTTATTTACTAAATGATGAAAGTCCTTATCCATACAGTCCAATAATACAGAAGTCTGAAAGCCTTTTGATCAGGAGAGAGACAAGAGATATGCACGCACCACGGCATCCCAAAGAAAAAGTCTCAAGAAAACTGCAGGGACTTGGCAGTCTCCAAGAATCGGATGACTGAATGGATTAAAAAAAATTTTGATGAAACTATACCTGAAATCTAAAATTGGCCTGATTTCATTTACTCAGCTTTTCTATGCATACAAACTTCATTCCATTTGGTTAAAAAAATTAAACAAATGCAGCTATTTGGAGATTCCCATGCAAATCAGTTGAGGAACTAACCTCACCTTTTAAACTGAAGTTCCTAGTTTAATCAGATAGCTTCATATGTGACCTCTTTTGTGCTATGGCATTGCAAAATATTCCTCACTCCTCAAGCCATTTGCCAAATCATCAGTACTTTATAACTAGGTTCATGCAGTACACTAAATCTTAAACACAGGTTAATAAATATGGCACCATTTACTACAAATGCTGCTGCATTCTGCACCAGTTGAAGCTTCCAAATGCTCTTCAAGAGCAGCCCATGTAGAGCGCATGCAGTAGTCCAGACAAGAGGTCATGAGGGCATGAGTGACAGTTAGCAGGGTCCTCAGAAATTGGTGCAGCTAGCGCACAACCTGAAGGCCCTCCTAGCCACAGCTGCCACCTGCTCTTCGAGTAGGAGCTGTAAGTCCAGGAGGACCCCCAGATTATGTACTGGGTCTGTCTGAGGCAGTGCCACCCCATCCAAGATGGAAGGTTCCCGTCACCAAAAGGTCCAAACACCCAGAACCACTCAGTCTTGCTCGGGTTGAACTGAAGTCTATTGTGCCCCATCCAGGTTCCCACAGCCTCCAGACGCTAGGACAGGATGCATCACTCACGTGGCCAGGGGTAGAGATTAAAGCTGGGTATCATCCACTATTGGTGATACCTCACCCCAAACCGTTGGATGACTTCACCCAGTGGCCTCATGTAGATGTTAAACAGATGAGTTCATGCAGCCATTTTGAGCCATTTTGCATGTTGATGCAGCCATTTTGAGGAAAATCCCATCAGTCAAAGAACTTCCAGGTTAAAGGAAAAGAATTGTCCCAAGTTCTTGCATTCCACCAAGCTTCACTTGTCTTTTTGTTCCAGAACTACAGTAATTCTGATGTGATCTCAATCGACTGCAGTGTGAATCTGGCTGCCAATGAAGAAGTCACCTTTCTCTTATATGGAAATCTGTGGATGAGGACCCTGAGAGCGGTATGGACAAGATGCAAATTGCCATCTTTGCTAGCAGCCAAGACAAGCAGCAGGCAGCTGGTCCTGCTCTTCCAGGCCATGCTTCTTCCTACGGATGATCGGACTTTCATCATCCCCACTAACTTGTCTTTCAGTGCTAATCATATCCATCACCCATCCCAAAGCAAGAGTTCCCCTTAGTCCATCCAGTTGGGGAACAAGAGTTTCAGTTTTCAGAGTTGCTGAATGACTGCAAAGAGAGAGAGAATTTGGTCCAGCCAGAAGCAGCTGGGATTTAAGATGAGGGACATAACACCGAGCAAATTTAAAATGAGATTATATTTCAGGGAAAGAACTATGTGATCCTCTACCGCTAAAAAGATTAATAGCTAATAGGGTAGCAATGGGAGCAATATTGAAAGTGGCAGGAATCCTTCATGGAACTGAAAAGCCTCACCAGTGACATCCCATTTTGCAGATTTTGTATCTCCCTCCACCAACCGCTAGATACCCCTAAGCCCTACCTTTCTCTTTTTGCCAAATCATGGTCCCTCTATAATCAAGGACATTGAGAGGCCAGGAAGAAATGATGAAGACAAGACAGATTATTTTGCTTCCCTCCTCATGTGTCAGGAGGCAGAATTCTTCTGGAGGTTGGGATGGGATAAATGCTTTGATCCATGAAAGCTTTCCAGCCTGTGCAGGTGTGATGGAATGGAATTATGAAGGCCAGGCTCAGGGAGATTAAGCATTTTCTTAGCTCACAGCAGGGGCGTGGGAACTACAAGAGGATGAGACTGGCACCTCCCTGAGGAATTCACACTGCTGTGGCTGGCTGACTTGGGACCTGGGGTTTGAGTCTGGGAAGATTCTTGCTAGAGGTTGTA